CACCAACACATTTCAGTTCAAACAACTTGTAAAAGTGCATGTAGCATCCGATGACCCCTTTAAACACTCTGTTTTCTTTGATTCTGAGCATAACTGAATCAACCCGGCCTGTCGCCAGACAAATCAGTCTTAATAGAGCTGATTTGACTCCTGGCTCAGTTTGGAGCTCATGTGTAGTTACTGTGTTTGGTCTCTGTGTGTCAGTAGTGAGTGATAGTGTTTGAGCAGCTGCAGCATCAGTTCAGTCACTGTGACTCTGACTGACGGAGGTTTTTGTATCACTCTTTATCACTGTGTGAACACATAATCACCCACACAGTCACCATAATTATGTACTCTGCAATGAAAACTCTGACAGTAATAATGTCCAGCATCTTCAGTCTGGAATCTACTGATGGTCAGAGTGAAATCACTGTTAGATCCACTGCCACTGAATCTAGATGGAGTTCCTGACTGACGGCTGCTTGCATGATAAATCAGGAGTTTAGGAGCTTCTCCAGGTTTCTGTAAGTACCAGGCCACACAGGGTGGGGTGCAGTCTATAGAACTGATAACTGGAGAACTGAGTTTACAACTCATCACAACATTTTCTCCTGGTGTGGCAGTTTTCACTGGAGTCTCAGTGACTGTGATCTGAGCTTTACACCCTAAAAAAAAAATTTATGAGTTCATGAAAATATATTATTTGACATATTATTAAATGATTTAACATTGTTTATTTCAAATATATACTATTCACCTTGTAGTGTAAAGCAGTATAAAAGAGTCCAGATGAAGATGATGATGAAGGTCATGTTGATGAAGATTGTTGTGTGTGTCAGTGATGAAGTGTTAAACTCACAGCACTATAAACACTCTCAGAGCACTGAAGCATCTGATGAATATGCAAACAGACTCCAGATCATTTACCTCAAGACAGTAGAGATACACAGTCTTGCAATTTTATTTCTTAAATTTTTATTTACCATTTTCACAAGCAGACATTTATAATTTACTTCATGTTATTTTGGGTGGAGCTTCACCCTGCAAACACTGTTTAATGTTTAGTTTCATTCAGACTTTGATGCTGGGAGCATTTAATATCTGATGTGCAGATTTCTATGATCATCTATGATACTGTATAACAGGTCAGAAGTCATCCAATACGGAATGACCATCTAAATCTTGCTAAAGATTTCATTATAAAGCAGGTAAATAGAATTAGCAGAGTTTAAAATCACATGCGTGTTGAAAATGTGATGAGCCTTTATACAATAAGTATTAAAGATGAACATTTTGTGCTGCATTTTTTAATGATCCATTGCTGCTGTTGAGTCTCATATCAGTGTGTGTGAGTGTCGTGGAGTTTGTGTTCATCTGAGTGTGACGGAGGTTTTTGTACGACGCTTTCACTAGAATGAAGTTGGGGTTTGAACATGGTCTCTGGAGACGGAGCTGCTCTATTCTGAGACGATCAGAATCACTAAAGCTGTCAATGCAAATCTGATTTTCAGCTCAAACTCACAGTTTCACTGTTTGATAGGTTCAACGCTCTGAACTGGATCAGTTTCACTTCACTTCTTCGATGAGACAGTTATGAAGATTGAGTGGTAGTTTATATACAACTTATGAACTTTATGAACTGTACTAAGGATGGAGACTTTTGACTAAAAGACAAATAATCTATTCAACAGCAACATGTTTATGTCCTGCTGTTTTTGGACATATAAATGCATAATAAGAAAGAAGAAAAATATGAATGATAAAATACATAAAAAAATACATATCATGGATTGAAAAATTAGTGCATGGAGAGCAGAAAATATATATTATGTAACTGCACCGAGACTTGAGTGAGGATCCAAATGCAGTATTTATTGAATAATCCAGTGTCAATACAGCAAGCAAATGGTCAAACACAAATAAACAACCTAAACTAGCGACCAGACAGGAAACAGGCAAAAAGGTAATCCAGAAAACCAAGAGACATGAAACCAGGGAGAGTGCTCAGCAATGTAAAGTAACAACTTGCAAAACCTACTACTGAAAGATAGAGTGAACATGGTTTAAATAGGCTGAGACAATGTAATGAACAACAGCTGAATGCAATCATTGATGAGTCCGGGCAAAGGATTATGGGGAATGAAGTCTGGGAGGAAAAGGTGATGGCGAGCGGGAGTAATGCTGCGTTCAAGTCCTCCTGGGACGTTCGTACTTTCGAGTTGACAAGTCGTAATTACGACGTCAGGTGCGTTCGAGTCAGTTTAGTGTACCTTCTTTTAATAAATTACAAGAAAATACAACAGGGTCTGTTAACTCTGCTTATAGAAAATGAAGAGCAAAGAATTCGCATGCAACATGGCAAATCAAAAGATTTTTCACCTATAGGTGCAATATTCGTTTTGCCAAAACCATGTGATCTGTGACGTCCGAAGCTTGGTTTTCGCACACAACCACGTGACTGCTTCGTATTCTGATTCAAATAATGCGAACCACTTGCACAGTTTCGAGTGTCACTCGTGTCTTTGAAAATAATAAATCATAATACGAATAAATATTTGCATACATGCATGTGTAGTGTTGTGCATGTTCATTTTGTATTAATTCCTGGTTCACAGACACTTTAACTGACCATTCTATGATAATCTTCGGTTATTTTGATCATAGCCTAGGCCTATATGCCTACAGCCTTGCCTATTTTTACCACAAATTTATTCACAGACTCATTTATTCATATTGTGTAATACAATGACTGACATGGACTTATTTATATAGACTTCATATTTTCTTTGCTTTATACAGGTTTTCATAGCACAAACTAATTTATTATCTGAAACAGTCCAAAAATGGCTGGGTCGTCTGGGACGCAAAGGCAGCTTTTTCCACCTTTTGACCACAAGATTTCGTTAGTGTGCACCGTCTTGAAAAGCTTCGGCCGCTCACGTCCGTAGACACGGTGTAACATTGGTTTTGCTTTGTTTCACAGAACTAATCGTTGCCTGGGTTGCGTACGTATATGTGGGGCGGAGCTATCAAAATAGGGGCAAGACCCTTTTGGGGTAGGGGCGTGTTTGTTTTGGTGATTTCAAATATCAACACTGGCTACCAGAAATCACTTACTCTGCCTTTAAAGAAAATCTCGAGCTTCCCACTCGTAATAACGACTTTGTGGTGGCGTTCATGTGCGTTCAACTCGTAAATACGATCTATCCGACATGACTTGAACGCACCATAACAACAGGGACTGGATTCATGACAAGATAAACCATAACTGATCTGGAAAATGATTATTATAGCAAAACAATTTTAATAATTAGCAATAAATAAATAAATAACATTGATATTACGATTATATTGTGATACATTTCTGTTTCTGCACTGTTGAGTGTGAGTGATAGTGTTTGAACAGCTGCAGCATCAGTTCAGTCACTGTGACTGACGAAGGTTTTTGTACCACTCTTTATCACTGTGTGAACACATTTTTACTGTTCATCCAGTAGTAACTCTGACAGTAATAATGTCCAGCATCTTCAGTCTGGAATCCACTGATGGTCAGAGTATAATCACTGTGAGATCCACTGCCACTGAATCTAGATGCAGTTCCTGACTGACGGCTGCTTGCATCATAAATCAGGAGTTTAAGAGCTTCTCCAGGTTTCTGCAAGTACCAGGCCACACAGGGTGGGCCGCAGGTTGAATGTTTACTGAGTTTGCAGCTCATCACAACATTTTCTCCTGGTGTGGCAGTTTTCACTGAAGGAGTCTGAGTGACTGTGATCTGAGCTGCTCTAGACCCTGAAAAACAAATCCGTTTTGATGCCATAAAATGGCATATTTTAAGCTGTGTAATATATAAATATATACTTCAATTGATTTTCAAATATACACTATTCACCTTGTAGTGTAAAGCAGTATAAAAGAGTCCAGATGAAGATGATGATGAAGGTCATGTTGATGAAGATTGTTGTGTGTGTCAGTGATGAAGTGTTAAACTCACAGCAACACTCTCAGAGCACTGGAGCATGTGATGAATATGCAAACACACTCCAGATCATTTACCTCAAGACAGTCGCTGAGTCTCAATCATAGGCCTATAATAAAAAACAATTACTGAAGAGAGAACATCTATCTATCTTTCTATCTATCAATTATTATCTATATAATATCTATATATTAGTTGGATTGGCACGTCACTGTTAATCCATGTATGTTCCTGCAGGTTTTAACAGACATGAGGATCAACACACACGTGTCTCTGTCAGTCACTGAATCAATGAGTTTGATTGTGAGTCACATCACACATGATATAAAACATTCACTTTTATAAATTCAGTTTGTAAATTAGTAATAATGCAGACTGCATAAAGCACATGAAGTAAAGGAAAGTATTTTCTGCTGTGAGTCGCTGTGTTGGTTGGAGACTCAGTTGATGTGTGTTTGTGCAGTTAGTGAAGCATCCAGCAGGTTTTTGTTCAGCTGCTCTATTAGTTTGTATCACTGTAGTTCACTTTCGGCAGCGGCACCAAACTGGATGTTGGCAGTAAGTAAATCATCATTTAATATTATTAATACAACAACTGGCTGTTAAACACTTTGTTGCTCTAGTTCCCAAACCTGTCCTGGAGGACCCCGTGCCCTGCACATTTTTTGTCTCTCTAATCAGACACAACCAATTTAGTTCTTGCAGTCTCTACTAACGAGCTGATGAGTGGAATCAGGTGTGTTAGAAAAGGGAGACATACAAAAGGTGCAGGGCAAGGGGTCCTCCAGGACAGGTTTGGGAACCACTGGTCTATAGGATGCACTTATTTATATATTTGAATTTTATTTTTAATTCACATTGAATGTTTAGCAGTCAACATTGTAAAGCTGGTTTTCATTGTCATGGCATGTTTGTTTTCATCCAGTGAACTATAATCATTTCTGTTATTTCAACTTGATTTTGTGAGTTTTCAGTGCCTCGGCTCTTTTTTCCTCATTGATAATTAAATTCTAAATGGTTAAAAATTTGCACATTTGCAAATTTGCATTGAAATAAAATGTACATTAGTTTGTCATTTTGGCACCATTTTGATTTTACTTGAAAATTTAAGACAGAAATTAAACATAAATGTTCAGAAAAAAACATATTTGAACCATGTGTAAATAAAAATATAACCTAATAAATTACAATTATGGTGTATTGAATATTAAAATGTGTTTTAAACAAAGTTAAGTGCTTATCATTACCCATTTTACTCTTAGTAATTTAATAATTTTATAAATTTTATAATTTAAAAGTTTAGTTCAGAAGTATCTAATCGTGAGTTGACTGTTGTGTGTTTGTCAGGCGTCACTCGTCCTAAAGTGAGCGTCCTGCCGCCCTCCAGTGCAGAGATCTCCTCAAAGAAGACAGCGACACTGGTGTGTGTGGCCAGCAAGGGCTTCCCGTCAGACTGGAGCCTGAGCTGGAAGGTGGACGGGAGCAGCGCTGGGCTCCTGGAGAAGGACGGTCTGTACCGCTGGAGCAGCAGCCTGACTCTCTCACTCGTGTCTCACTGGAGACTAACAGCACATGAGCGAATCCTTCATTCTCCACATCCAGCTTCAGTCGCTCGCATCTGCATCTACTCTGCTTTGTGTGTTTCACACAAACCTATATGTGTGATTTTATTAAAATTCAGTCTTTAAATAAAATATAATTGTGACTTTGTGTCCCTTTTTGTGTCATTTTTGTTTCAGGTCTTTCATTGAATGAGGGGTCTAGCTCACATATTATAAATAAGTCAGTGGACCATAAACACCTGCATATACATGATGGAACAACATCTGCTCTATTCTGAGAGGAACACAATCACAAATGCAAATATGCGTTTAACATTCAGTTTCACAGTTTGACTCGTTATTCTATGAAATGAGTTTGACTAATAGAGAGAAGAGGCTTGCAATGTCATCTAATAATTTATAAAAGTGTGTAAAAACTAAATTAAACCAAAAGAGCCTCTGTCCTGTGTACAATAATTATACTTTGTATAAGTGCGTACAATGTATAGTCTTGTGGACAATAATTAAACAAGAAAAGAAATAAAACAAGAAAACATAAAGTACATAGAAATATAGACATATATTTGAGAAAAAAATAACATTTAGTAAACGTGCTGTGTCTCCCCCTGTGGTCAGGAAAAGTCTTTTTCGCTAACTTATTTCTCTGGAAAGCTTGTTAGTGCTTTCCAACCTTCGAAGACTGACAATAGCGCGAACCAATAGCATTTAAGTTCGGGCTGCGAAACCATAATTTTATTGGTTGAACATACTGAGCGGATACGCCCCCTTTTACTAGCGCGCGCGCCATTGAATGAATCATCTCATTAGTGAACCAACTGAACTCAACTGTCGTAACGACATAACCTGCAGAAGGAATCACTTAACGAATCAGTGAAGGATTCTGAACGAATTTCCTCAGTGAACAGATTCGAAAGCGAGTCGAGTCACCGAGATGAATCAAAACAGTCATGAGTGTTATTCAAAATCTCAAATCAGAGTTTGTTTAATCAGAAATGTCACTTTGCTCACAGCTAATTTGTTTGATATATGTTTACAATAACGCGCTAGGAGATTCAGGAGATTTTAAGACTTAAATGTCGGTGTGTTCCTCACACATGCCTTCAGAAAGTAATGTACTGAACCTTTTTTCAGTTCTGAACCATGGCAGTTGTTAGTCACGTAACCAGTGGCGTTTTTATTGAAAAGGAGCAGCTTGAACATTCTGCTAAACATATTTTGTGTTCCACAGAAGAAAGTAAATCATATATATGGGTCTGGAGCAACATGAGGGTGAGTAAATGCATACAAAACAGAATTGGGTTTCCTATGCGTATCATAGGCCCTATATTATATCTAGATCAGAGTTTTAGATTTACATGTTAGCATAGTGACTCTCTGGGTTTGCTGTTGTTAAATACAATAATAAATAAATATGCGGGATCTAAATATGAGATGATTTAATTAGATAACAACAAAAACAACATCACATAACACTGCAATGAAAGTACAAAGTTCTTTTAATAAATCACTTCTAATATTATTATGACTTTTCCATGCAGAACATTTTCCTGGATCAACAACTTTTATTTGCTTCTGGACCAATATTTCTGTAAGGTAAACAGTCTTAATCTTTAACTAGAGGAAACTGATGATAACCTTAAAGGGGTCATATGATGCGATTAAAATTTTTCCTTTCTCTTTGGAGTGTTACAAGCTCTTGGTGC